CCCACCCCACCCCACCTCCTGGAAAGGGTCTTCTTCAGAAAGAGCAGCTGTGCCTCCTGCTGCCACTCGAGGTCGCCCTAAGCTAAAATTTGTTACTGGAATTTTGCTCTCAAGTGGGCCCCAATTTCGCCTCGGCTTTGGGGTTAGGTTGTTAAAGGCCATTTGTTCAGTTCACAGGCAGTTGTTTGCAAATGTTTTGGGGCGTGTGTGAGTGCCAGCACACCCACACACCCAGAGGGCAGCCTTGAGGTTCTGTCCCAGTCGCGGGAACACAATGGCAGGCTCGCGGGCTGTATTTTAATCCACTGGTTCATGGTTGCAGTAATGCTACCTGGACGGAAGGAAGGAAGGAAGGAAGGAAGGAAGGAAGGAAGGAAGGAAGGAAGGAAGGAAGATACCCAACTCCGAACTAGCATTAGTTTTGGGCTGAGGCACTTCCACCTTGCCAAGACCCAGGGCGAGGTCACCAAGCTGTAGTTCTGCCCATCGAGTCCCACGTCGGCCTCAGCCAGCCTGGGAAAACGCCGCCCGGCCACCCTCAGTGCCTCATCCCCAAAGAAGGTAATCCTGGGCGCAGCTCCAGCTTTTAGGATCTGGAAATGTATCAGATCAATGTGCAGCACACGTGGCCTATGGAATCGACCAAAACGTGGCCTTCATTGCACGGATCACCCTCTGTCATTTTCTGATGAGCACAGGGAAGTGTAGCTGGTGGAGGGCTGCAGCACCGCCGGGCTCCGTTTGGGCTCCAAAGCCGAGCAGACTCCCCCTGGCGCAGGCCCCGGGGCGTCCAGGGCTGCGGGGAGGAATCAGATGGGGAAACCCCATCACCACCAAGAAAATGCCCCGGGCGCATCCACGGAGGCACCAGCAGCCAAGCTTGGCTTGTCCTGAGCTACCCCAGGCTTCGCCTTCCCGGGTTGGGTCTCAGCCCCTCAAGGGCAGGGAGAAAGGCAGCCTTGCCACCTCAAACCAGCCTGCCTCGTGATCCTGTCTCTCTTGCACGCGAGAAAGGCAGGAATAAAAGGGGGCTGTTTCAGTGCCCCCTCGCCTCTTTCCATAAATTAGGGTGGCTCTTTGGTGGCCTAGAAAGGAAGCCCCACAATAAGTCACTGTGCGCAAAGCACGGGGGGGAGGACCTCAGCTCAGAGCTTTGCATGAGTCAGGACTTTTCTGACTTCCACAAAAGCACTCTTGCATGATCGTCTCTAGCCCCTTTTTGACCGTCCCCCAATGAGGACTAGCCCCTTGGGTTGCTCTGTTGCGCCTCCTGTGCTGGCCAACAGCCACAGCACTGAGGCCGCATTTGTAACTGTGGTCTGAGCCCAGTTTGCAAGCGCTTAGGATAAACTTGAGGGCAGGGCCCTTGCCTTCTGAGTGCATCAGTCCAGAGGGTCAAGCCATTGCTGCATTTCTTGTCTTCCTGGGCAAGCCGTAGGAGACCGTTGCCTTCTTTTATTGCTCCTAAGAAATCTCCGGATCCCATTCTTCAAGGCTCTGCTGCGCTGCCCTCTGGATTTTAAAAATAATTAAACATTCAGCCATCTGGACCTTGCCTGCGGCGTTTTCCCTCATCTGAGTGGGACGTTTCTGAAAAGAAATGGTCTTTATAGCTTCCCCGAAGCTTTTATTTAGATGACACCAACACTTCACACTGTGGTGTGGAAGGAGGAAGTGCATCTTCTTGATACTGAGGTTTTCGTGGTTTTTTCACACCTGCCCCCTGATTAGACACTCTTCTCACCAACGGAGTTTCAAAGACGTTCAGGAAATCTTCTTCCCCTTCTCTCTTTTAAGACCAACAGTTCTGGAAGGGGGCAGCTGCCTGTATTTTAAATAGTTTGTTCTCTACTTTAATCCGATTTTTATCTGGAGCATTTATACCCTGCCCTTCATCCAGAAGTTAGAGAGAGCTAGAAAGGGTTCCCATCACAGAATAAAAGTTACACGACACAAAAGGGAACGGTGGGAAAAGAAAGAAACAAAAAAAAAACCCCACCCCGATCCCAGGTCTTAAAAGAATTCTTTGTTTCATAATAAAGGTAATCTTTATTGTGTATTACGTATGTCTGTTGTGTCGCACATACACGTGCACACACGCACAGAGCTCCCCTCTCCTGCATCTCTCAGCCCAAATGCTGAGATTTTTCTCTCGCGGCCTCACTTTAACCCACCAGGCTTCTATTTCCCACAAAGGCACTTTTAAAGTTCTCATAAAAGGAAAGCCCATTTCTGGAGTCAGCTCCTCTGGCCCTTGACCACATTAAGACACCCAAGAAAACTAAACGTCTTGAAAGGACCATACAGAAGCATCTTCCAACTGAGAACATCCAAACGTGCGAAGCTCTACTGAACAGCTCGATAATAATGATTTGATTTGATTTGATGAATGAACGAACAAATGGATGGATGAACGGATGGATGGATGGATGGATGGATGGATGGATGGATGGATGGATGGATGGATTGATGGATGGGTTTTGCAGCTGCACCCCCCCCCCCAAGAGCAACAATCCCACCGCTTCCTTCCATAGCTTTGCACTCATCTGAAAAGAGCCAGAGGGATGGACGTGAAGGTGGTTTTGTGAGCAAACGTCCGGCATGGACACTGACCTCTTGATTCTCTGCTCTCCCTAAGCAGGAAGCTCCATTTCCTTGGCCATGGGGTCAAAGCCGAGACCGCTTGGGGAACCCCAGTGCAACTGTGGTTACACAGGGGGCCCCGAGAGCAGCCGACTGTAATGTTCAGCTTGCTTCTGGCACACGGAGAAGGTGCCCTTGGGGCAACATTTCTAGAAGCAAGGAAAGGCCTCTTGGCTTCCAGGACTGCAATCCGGGCAGTGAAAAAGGGCATTGTCTCTCGGCCCCACCGAGGTTCCCTTTGGGGCTGGCAG